TCCCCCCCCGTCATCCAGACCCTCTTTGTTCCACCTGGGAGGAGTCAGAGATTCTCAGTGTGACGGGTTGGGACACGGAAACCCCCTTGGGAACTGCCACCTGATGTGATGAGACTACCTCTGAGCCCGTTTTCCCTGGCAGCTTGGGACTTCAGTACCGCACCTGGCTGTGACAGACACACTAGCCTGCTACAAACACAGACCCAGGTCTGAACCACGTCCCCCAAAAGCTGCAGGCTTCACTGAAAACAGCTTAAGAAGTGCTCCTGTCTCCAGCACCGATACCCAGTTCCCAGTGGGATCCAAACCCCAAATAAATTGTTTCCTCTCTATAACACGGATAGAGAGAGATGCACAGCTGTTTACTGCCCCAGGTATTAATACTTGCTCTGGGTTAATTAATAAGTAAAAAGTGATTTTATTAAATATAAAAAGTAGGATTTAAGTGGTTCCAAGTAATAACAGACAGAACAAAGTAAATGACCAGGAAAAATAAAACAAAACACGCAAGTCTAAGCCTAATACAGTAGGAAACTAAATGCAGGTAAATCTCACCCTCAGAGATGTTCCAATAAGCTTCTTTTACAGACTAGACTCCTTCTCAGTCTGGGTCCAGCAATCACTCGCATCCCCTTAGTTACTGGCCTTTGTTCCAGTTTCTTTTAGGCATCTCTTTGGGGTGGAGTAGAGGTTACCTTTTGAGCCAGCTGAAGACAAAATGGAGGGGTTTCCAGGGGCTTATATAGTCTTTTTCCTGTGGGTAGAAACCTCTCTCCTCTCCTGTGTAAAATCTCCTCAACAAGATGGAGTTTTGCAGTCACATGTCTATGAATGATTCAGCTTTTTGCAGGCGTTCCCAGGAAAGCTCCCACGTGGACTGGCGTCTCCCAAGGTCCATTGTTAGCCACGTACTCCCAATTACATGAATAACCCCTTCATACTATGTTGACAATTCTGCCTTAGGTGCTTCCTACGGCAAACACTCTAAATACAAGCCCAGAGCCAACGCTCGTAACTTCCCATATAAAAATGACACCTGCATACGAATAGGATGACTACATTCAGCAGAACATAACCTTTGCAAAGCTATGGCGTATCTAGCCTAAAACATGTTCCAGTTGTGTCACATTTACACTCATAAGCATATTTCTATAAAGCATTATGGGGTGCAACATCACACTCAGCACAAACGCCCCCTGCACCCAGCACAGCTGAGCTCAGCTAGGAGACGCCTGGCCTGCGCCCAGCCCTGTGGCGGATTCACCAGCGGCCGAGGCCCCCCTGTACCCGCATTTAACAGTGACAAAGGGGGAGTCAGTGCCAGCGCCCTGGGAGGTTTTACCTGTGGGACTCCCGGTGACTGTCACGGGGAAACCCTGCATCCAAAAGCAGGGAGCATGGGGGCTGAGTTAGAGCTGCGGCTGGGAGCCCTGACAGAGCCCACCCCTGCACGGCTGTTGCCATGGGCTGGTTTAGCTGGCAGGCACAGCCACCGGGCACCTCCTTAGATGCCCACTGCTTCTCCAGGAGGCGTCGGTGCCCATGCACCAGTCCCCTCCGAGTGCCGGTCTCCAGGATGATCTTGCCGTGCCGGGTTGGGGGTGCGAGGACAATGGACCTGGGGAAGGATGTGCCACCTCCACGCACAGGTCAGGGGAAGGACTCAGAGAGCTTGAATGCTCCCTCCTGTGCTGAGACAGAGCCGCTCTCAGGGGCAAGAGCGCTACAGAGGCAGGGCTGCCCTTGGCCTGCCTGCAATGGAGAGCAGCTGGGGCTAGGGGCATGGAACACCAACCACCTGGCTTCTGGCTAGCCCCCGTGCAGCAGGCCTGGGCCTGGCTCCTGGCAGGGTCTCAGCAGGTGTTTGTCCACCTGCCCTGGCTTGGAAGGGCAGAGAGGAGCTCTGCTGGGAGAGGCGCTGGATGGCTCACGGTGCATTGACAGAGCTACGCAGCGGCTCGACGTGGGGCAGCAGAGCTGCGTGGTGCGGCCTGGCAGGTCTCAGCGCCACGCGCGCCAGCGAGCTGTCAGCCCCGGACACAGGCAGTGCTGGAGCGTCTTCCCTGAGGGGGCAAGCTGTTCCCTCATGGGGTGGGCCCTGCTCAGCCCAAGGCAAGTAGCCACAGAGGGTTGAGGCTCAGTGAGGAGGCGCCGCGGGTGCAGATTCGGTGCCCTGCATACATGGGGGGGCTGGGCCCCGGGGTGCTCAGCCTGGTGTATTTCTCCAGCGCTAAACCCTCTACCAGCCCTCTGCAGACCAACAAGCAGCGGGGGGAGGAGGGGCAGGTCCAGTCCAGTGTCCCCAGGAGTTTAACCTGCGGCCTCCACTAGCCCCTGGCTCCCCGGTGCTGGAGAATGGGCGAGAGCGGGTTACGTGGCCTCCCCGAAGGGGAGCACTGGAGAACATCCCCATCCACACACACAACACCTGCGTCCTCCCGTGGACACGCAGCCCCCGGGCTCTCGGCTCAGCTCTCCCCTTTCCTCGCCAGGGGACAGGATGGAGGAGAATTTTTCCTGCCAAGTCAAGAAGATGGCGCTGGCCTTGGGAACGTCTCTGACGGACAAGGATATTGACCTGCTGCCCTCGGAGATGAGACATCATGGTACGGAGGGGCCGGGCCCTACCCGCCCTGGGCTTGAGGCTGGCTCCGACCCGGGCCCCGGGTGCACGGCGTGGGGAGGCTCATGCAGATGCAGCCCCAGTTCTGGGAGGGGCCGGGGTTTGTCCCCCAGCTCTCCTTTTTCGGCCAGTGAATTCAAAGGCGTTAAAGGGGCTCAGCTGGCCCCCGGGGAGGCCAGCCCAGACTGCAGGGCTGGAAACCAGCAGCAATGAGCCAGGGCCTTGAGGCCCCTTCTTGGAAGGGCAGCGGCTGGTTTGTCTCCTGCTGCGATGGGCAGGTGCCCACTCGCCCCCCCCTGCCCGCTTCCTGACGGGTGGGCCCCCTGCCCCTCTCTGCCCACAGCTGCCTTCAACTACAGCAAGTTCTTCGAGTACATGCAGAAGTTCCAGACGTCGAGTGAGCAGCAGGAGCAGTTGCGCAAAGCTTTCCAGCTCCTGGACAAGGACAACAGCGGCTTCATCGAGTGGAACGAGATCAAGTAACGGCCAGAGGCTTGTACCCTCCCTCCCCCTGTCCATCCCCCCCCCACGGGCCCCCCCCGCCCCCCCCCCG